TGGGCGGGGATAGGGGCTCGAGGCCCCCTTGGCTCTAAGGAAAAGCAGAGGCACTCAGGCCCGCCCGCCCCACGGACAGGAGCGGCCGGGGGAGGTCAGGGAGAGCTGTCACAGTAGTCCCCGCTCCGGGTGGCCGCAAGCAATTTTCAAATGCCTCTACAAAAATATATTCCATAACGCTCCTCGCCAAAATCTTCCTGTCTTTTTTCCTCTGTAGTGGAGGATGAGATTAAGTTTCTCCGCACGGTGGCTGCCCTAAATTTAAGGGTTTCGTGGGGTGCGAACTAGGACGATTCTCTGCTTGTCACTGCACTGCCAGATGATCTAACCCGAGAGTGGTGGACTTACTACTAGTGCTTGAGTGCTGGGGATGTAGCTCAGTGGGGCCGGGCCTGCCTGGCAAGCGTAAGGTCCTGAGTTCTATCCCTGCTGGGGGGGGGGGATTGATAAAACTACTAATGCTTGAGGAGAAACATACTGTGCTAATTTGGCTCTAAACTCCCTAATTCTTTGGGGGGGGGGGGGCCGGGGATCAAACTCGCGTCCTTGTGCTTGCGCAGCAGGCGGCGAAACCACTGAGCTAAATCCCCGGCTCTAAACTCTCTAATTCTTATTGAAAGGATTATATGAATATTTTAGACCCAAGTCTTCCACAACTCTAAATAGCAATTGTCCTTTAAGGCAAGATTTGATCGTTGAATAGCGCAGGATAAATATTAGTCTAAAATCTAGGTCTGGAACGAAAATTGAGGAAGAGAAAATCTAAATGTGAGAATTAAAGGTACTTACCAATTTAGACTTACCTAATATTGCAGTCTCTAGCATATCTTTGCTATGTTTACAAGAACATTCACCAATGAACTAATATTTACTATGTAAAATACAAGAGGTTGTCAGATAGTCTTTATCCTAAAGGATTATAATCTAATTTTACTGTGGAATCCAGACCAATAGGCCAATTAGAAAATAAGGCTATGCCAGGTGTGGTGGCGTACACTTGTAATTCCAGCACTTGGAGGATCGCTACTGAGTTTGAGCCGAGCCTGAAAACCAAAATGGGCTGGTACAGGTAGGGAAGGATTATTTATCAGAATTCAGAGAAAAAGAATCCATGTCATGGATTACTGAGGTATTGAATCAGACCTGCCTGAAGAATTATGAAGCAGATTAGGATGGATAGTGATAGCAACATTCCAGATTGGAAGAAAGATCAGCAGAAACCCATCCAGGTATGATTTATAATGATACATGGAGACTATTAAGGTCCCAAATGGGAAAGTTCATGTTAAAGAGCAAAAGAAAATATAATGTTGTAGAGCTCCCATGAAACCTGTATTAACCCTTCTCTCAATTCTATGCAAGCGGTTGTAAAAATGTTTAATCTTGGTGCCAAAGTTGATTAGTAACAGCTACTCAGAGAGTTGCTCTATGAACTTTTTTGGTTTTTAGTACCGGGGATCGAACTCAGGACCTTGTGCTTCCAAGGCAGGGACGGTGCTACTGAGCTAAATACCTGGCCCTGTTCTGTGAACTCTTAATACTCCATCCTGGTTCCTTCAGCTACAAGTTTCACAACTTCTGAGGGTCTTCTTATGAGAATGGGTCACTTAGTGGCAGGAAAAATATCTTATTCCTGGCAAATATATTTTTCTGATTCATATATTGGTTTGTTATTCTGGTTTTCCTAAAATTTTGTTATTCTTAGAAAGATATCAAGCTGCTTAAGATCAGGTCATTTCTTACTTGAGACTTCAACTATAATGTCTGTTCATATACTTCTGCATTAATAGTACAATGTTATAGAATCAGCAGCCAGATGTATCTTTCTAAAACGTCACCTGTACCATCCGCATTTATACTGTCTCCTGACAAGTTCTCAGTAAAATGTCATTTTTCTTATCTACCTGCACATCCCACTGTAATTGCAACATACTATGTTAATCCCAAACTGACCAAGGTTATAGTCTGATATTAGTCTATTAGACTAGATTTTAAGGTCCTTCCTATATTAAAACTCATTGCTGGGCTGGGGATTTAGCTTAGTGGCACTGTGCCTGCCTCACAAGTGCAAGGTCCTGAGTTTGATCCCTGGTTGGGGGTAGGGGGAATGGGACACACACGACACACCTCATTGCTATAAATATTTCCTATAACCTAGGGTTGGGCTTTTTATTTTATGAAAAAATAAAAATTTCATAAATAAGAGAATAACAACAGTTAATACACTGTGTATCATTATCTCTAAAGTAGTTACTCAGAGTACAAGACAAAGTCTTACAAAAAAGAAAGATAATAACACAAAAACTTTCTTTTCAGCAAACTAAAACTAGTAGTATAAATGAAACAAATTAGCATATATATTAAAATATTTTTGAAACAATGGAACATGTAATTTAGGGAAGTATTTGAATTTCTCCCTACTTCCTATTTTTTCTTCTTCTGTCTTTTCTTTCTTTCTAAAATTCTTTTATTGGTACATTTTAGGTATACAATACATTTACATTTATCATTGGGTGTTTGTACCTGTACATGATGTATCTTAGTTCTTATTTTTTCCCCCATTACCTGTGCGCCGTTCAACCCCTCCACCCTTCTCTATTTACATAGATTTCATTTCCATTTTTTTTCTTTTCTCATAATTTTTCCTTTCCCTTCTTCCCTTTCCCCTTCCCCTCCCACCACCACTACACCTTTGGACCTTTTCCTATTTCAAATTATCAATTATTCATTTTAATCATTTTAACCCTTACTTACACTTTCAGTTTCTCACACCAGAGAAACTATTTGGTATTTACACATGTGTGTCCTATTTATTTCACTTAAGAGTATGGCCTCAATATGCATCCATTTAGCTATAAATGACTCTCGTTTCTCGTTCTTTACGGCTGAGTAGTACTCCATTTTATAAAAAAACCCCACATCTTCTTTATCCAATTTCCAGTTGATGGGCACTTGGGCTGTTTCCAAGCTTTAGCTATTACAAACTGTGCCGCTATAAACATGGGTGCACATATATCGCTGTGGTATGATTCTTTTAATTCTTTGGGGAAGATACCCAGCAGGGGAATAGCTGAGTCAAATGGGACCTCTAGTCCTAGTCCCTACTTCCTATTTATCTCTTCTATTTTGCTCTTTGTGTTTCTCTAAAAGACCCCATGAAATAATTTGTCCTTGTGTGCCTGGCTTATTTCACTTAAGTTCTCAAATTCCATTCATTTGCCCGTAAATGCCTCAAGTTTACCTTTACTATCCCACTGTGTATAACCACATTGTCCTTATCCATTTATCTGTTGATGGACATACATGCTGTTTCCAAGATTTAGCAATTATACACTGTGTGGCTATAAACATGGGTATGCATGTATCCATATAATACAATGATTTTAACTCTTTTGGGAAGATACCTAGAAGAGGGATATAGCTGGGTCAAATGGAACTTCTATAGTTTTTTGAGGAATTGCCACACTGATTTCCATAGTGGTTGTACTAGTTTGCTTACATTCTTACCAAGAAGGTAAGAGTTCCTTTCCCCCCTCACATCTTTTTTTTTTTGGGGGGGGTACCTGGGATCGAACTCAGGTCCTTGCGCTGCGAGGCAGGTGCCGGAACCACTGAGCTAAATCCCCGGCCCCTCCCCCCACATCTCGCCAGTGTTTGTTATTAGATTTTTTGATGATAGCCATTCTTTCTGGGGTAAGATGGTATCTCAGTGTAGTTTTAATTTGCATTTCTCTGATGGCCAGCGATGAGCATATTTTTTATATACTGACCACGTGTACTTCTTTAGAGAAGTGTCTATTCATTTCAGTTGCTCATTTCTTTTTTTCTTTTCTTTTTTTGAGGCTTGGTCTTGCTGTGTAGTTCAGGCTGGCTTAAAATCACTATGTAACCCAGGCTGGCCTTGAACTCATGGTGATCCTCTTGCCCCAGCCTCCCTCCTGAGTGCTGGGATTACAGGCATGTGCCACCATGCCCAGCCATTTCTTTTGATCGGGTCAATTTTTTTGTTTTTTTCCAGTGCTGGGGATTGAACTCAGGATCTTGCGCTTGCAAGGCAGGTGCAGCACCACTGAGCTAAATCCCTGGCCCCTCTAAGTTCTTTATATATTCTTGATATTAGTCCTCTGCCCATGGAATAGCTGGCAAAAACATTTTTTTCCGACTCGTAGACTGTCTCTTCACTTTGTTGGTTGTTTCCTTTGCTGTGCAGCTTTCTAATTTGACATGGTCCCATTTGTTGATTCTTCATATTATTTGTTGTGCCACTGGGGTTCTCCTCAAAAAGCCCTTCCCTATTCCTATGTCATCAAGAGTTGTACTTTTTTTTTTTTTTTGGTACCAGGAATCAAACTCTGGACCTTCCGCTTGCGTGGCAGGCCCTGGAACCACTGAGCTAAATCCTCAAGACCTTTTTTTTAAAATTTTTTTTTTTTGGTATCGGGGATCGAACTCGGGTCCTTGCGCTTTCGAGGCAGGAGGCAGAACCACTGAACTAAATCCCCAGTCCTGTACCTATTTTTTATCTTCCAGCAGATTGCTTCTGTTTTAACATTAAAACCTTTGATTTTAATTTGCTACATGGTGAGATATATGGGTCTAGACTCAATCTTTTTTTTCTTTCTTGTACCAGGGATTGAACTCAGGACCTTGCACCTCCCAGGCAGGCACAGTGCCACTGAGTACATCCCCAGCTGTGCTACTTTTCTCTTGTTGCTAGACAAAATACCCAGCACCCACAATTAGAGGGGAAGGGGTTTATTTTGGCTTACAGTTCCTAGAGGTTTCAATCTGTAATCGGCTGGCTCCAAGGAAGATTGACAGAGGGGAAAGACAGCCAAGGCAAGAGACCTTAACAGTGTCTTTCTGCTCCTTTTATTCAGACTACCGGGATTAGA